CTGACACCAAACTGAATTACGAAGTGCGGAGGACCACCACGTGGCCCTCCCCCAGACCCAAGTGTGACTGTGCTCAGTTCCGAGCAGGGCGGGCTGTGCAGAGGCGACTTCCCTAAGGTGGTTTCTGTTTGGACAGTGAGCCTGGCTGAGCCTGGCTTCCTGTGCATGTGTCTTCATGCAAGCAGGTAGGCGGTGTGTTGGGCTAGCGTTGCTCCTCACCACAGTGAGCCCAGTGGAGCCCAGATTAGTGGGCTGTGAGACCGTGGGGCTAAGATACGAGATAACATCTCTGCTGAGGCCTGTGTGACTCCGGAGAAATTTCCTTCCTAGAACTGACTACAAAGCAGGTTACTTGTTACAACAACCCGAATCTGGCTGTTCTTCTTTCACAAGAAAGCTGTGTTCCCTGTGTCACACGCCTTGCCTGCCTCGCCATTTCTCCAGCACCTCCAGCCATAACCCCCTCGCCACTTTCCTCAGTGTGAACGTGATCAATAAATACCGAGGTTCTGGCTGCCTCCTGGCCTTTTGTTCCCGTGAACAACCGGCCAGCCCAGATCCCCGTCACATCATCATTTTGTCTCTTGCTCTTTCTTTTCACTGGGCACTGTAATACCTTGCAGGAGATGGGGGCCGACTACAAGGGTCCCTGACAGGAAAGTAAATGTAAAAGTCTGGCAACCCTCAGGTTTGGGAAGGATATTCAAGAGCTCCATGACAGACCTCCCATCACGTCTATAGTCTGTTCTCAAAAGAGCTGGAGTGATCCTTTGAAAATGTATACAAATTGTGCCCCTTTTCTACAAAATTCTAGGTTTTTTTTGCAGATGTGAGAGAATTTTATGTCCCCAGTGCTTTATCTCCCCCTATATTCATGTCCTTTGCCGTGTGTCTTTGCATGTCCTTCTACTAAAAATAGGGCACAGTTCTCTTTCCCACGGCTGACATGTGCCTTGCATAACCTGTGGGATTTGAGCAGATGCGTGCACGTGGGTTGAGTTGGCCCCTTACTCTCCTCCCTCTACCCAGAGAGGTAAGTGCTTCTACTACTTAGTGTCCTAAAGAGCCTGAGGGGCTCAAGGGAAAGACCTGGACCCAACTGTAGCTGGAGCCAAACAGGAAAGAGCTGAACACTAATTCTTGCTCTTACAAGCTATGTTATCTGCGGCACACAGCAGCAGAGTTCCATGTCCACACTGTTCCTTCCCCGCTCCCCAGGCCTGGGGACCTCATGCAGAGGCACCAAGGAAATGCCGTGCGTGCAGTGGGTGTGCATCACACTCAAGGAACCCTGATCTTCAGAATCCATCTCTTATGATGAACAATAAGCCTGCCTGAACATTGCCTTTGCAGGAACAGCTGGCCTCCCCCTGTCCCACCGATGGCTCCATCCCTTCTTCCTGCATGCTCATTCTTTCTACAGGGCTTTTGCACAGCTGTTCCTTTTCCCTGAATTGTCCCTCGTTCCTCTGCTCAATTCCTACCCACTATGCAGCTTGTTTTTCACACAGCTCTTCCTTGGGGAACCCTAATAAGGTTCTCTTTAGGGCGGTCAAACATCTTATGCTTGTGTATGCATCTACTTGATTAACAGGTATCTGCACAGACAGCAAACGCCATGAGGGCAAGACACTGTCCTGTACCTGGCAAACAAGATCCTCAATGCACATCTGTGAAATAAACGGGTTCTGGTGGGACCGAGGTTTTTAGACTGTTTGGCACATTATAGGATCCCAGTGAGTGGCTGCTAAAGTAATAACATCCAGTAGAGGAGACAGGCGGGGTAAGAGTTTCATTTCCAAGCTCTCAGACTACCGAATAACAATTCTGTTTGCAGGCATACTTACCCCCCACAGGTGTGTGGCTCTACGAGACAGCACGAAGGGATGCACCACAGGATTCGCGTTAAGGATGACGGGATCTCCAACCAGAGAGGCCCAAGGTGAGAGTGACACGCTGACCGTGGCAACCTGTGTGTGTTCAGAGGCGTTTTCCAGAACAGGGTCGGCATTCTTGATGGCAAAATTGAGAAAAGCTACAACATCTTGAAGGAAACACAAAATTTTGGTTTTTTTCTAAGAAGCTTCCCTTTCACATTTTGTACCACTAAAAAAAAAAAAGTACAATAAATGCTTCATTCATTTGCACTAGAAGTCATAAAAACTGGTTGAAGTGGCTCAGTTGGATCATCAAAGATTTGAGAACTTGTTCTACTTGCAAGCTAACCAGCTAGGCTGCCTCAATTTCACGGACACTGGCAGAAAACATGCGCCCTTTGGGTGAGGGGCAAAGGACTTTCTCTCTGATGGCACCATAGCCAATATGAGATTCATGTTCACATTCTTCCCCTTGCTCTCCAAGTTCTGCGAGGGCAGCCGCAAGGCCCAGGTGGTTGTGATGTGTGCTCTGGATTTGTCTCTAAACCATGCTTCAGGAACCCTGAACATAAAAAACTTGAGTCTTTTAGAAAATAAGCATAAATTTTCCTAACTATTTCCCTGTACAGAGAAAATAATGTAATTATGCTGGGTGTTAAATAAGACATCCTCTGCACCAGCAGGAGACCATGTCTCTATTTTGGCACTTTGAACATCTCTGAAAAGATGGTCTGAAAGGAAGGCAGCCAGTCCCACAGCTCACACTGCACAAGAGCAAGAGGCGGATGAAGTCTCCCCCACCCTGCTTTGCTTTGCGTTTCATTGTTTCAATTTTGTTTTTGTTCTTTTCGAAGTTGTTGGGACCTGTGCAGCAGACCCACCATCCCCTCCATGTGACTCCACGCATCTCCTAGGCATCTGCGGCTCTGCCTAGACAGCAGTCCAGCCCACACCAAGGACAAGTCCCAGTGCCACGGAATAAATGACCGCAGACGCAGCCAGCGGCCTCAAGCAGTGTGGTTAAGCATCGCAACTTCTTGACCCTCTATTCGGGGTCAATCCGAGATAAGCCTCGGATTCCCGGTGGAACTGTTAACATGATTCATTTTCTCACTTCCTTAGGCCCCTACTGCCGTTTCCTAGAATCGTGTCCCAAATAAATTACTTACTCTTGAACCCATCTCTTGGGGTTGCCTTTGGGAGAACAGAGGCTAAGGAAATGTGAGAGAGTCATATTTTGCAATATACAACAAAACGTAATAAAGAATACTGCCACAGCCCAGTGAGAGAAGAGCACCAGGGAAATCAAACAGCTCTCAGGCAGCCCAGACCAACACCGGAGTTTGAAAAGGCCTCTGAGCCTGCCAGACATGCGCGCCTTCACTTCTCCGGCCCCTTCTCTCCACACGTCCCTTTCCACGTGCTCCGCTCCCCTCCTTCCCCTCTCTCTGGTCAGCATATGTGGTTTAGAAGACACCACTTTCCACTTTCCAAAACTCTAACCGTCCTTAAGATGTCCCTTGGGCATCACTTCCTCCAGAAAACCTTCCCAGGCTGTCCGGATTGCCTTAGATTCCACTTCCCAGGGTTTCACAGCCCCGCACCATGACATCTGACACATCAGATGGTGCCAGCCTTTCCTTTGTTTGACTGCCAGGGAACACACAGTCTAACCACAAGGAAGGTGCTTATTTTAATACCTGAATACGAGTACTTACTACATACTTGTTGCATGAACAATAATTGATAGTAATGGCCATTCATAGGGCATTCTTTCACAGAGACGGTTTCATTTGAGCCCCATGTTTCCTATGGGATGGGGTGCTGCCGTCACTTCCACTGAGACAAAGCAAGGCAACAACACACATCGGCCTCACGGTGCACAGATGACCAGTGCCGGGGCCAGGATCTGAACCAGAACTTGCTGGATCCAACCTACATGTTCTTAAATGGTTCCATCAGCACCGCGGTTCATAGTGAATTTCCTTGCATGGAAAGTGGAAAAAGCAAAAGGTCCCAGAATGCCAGAACTGGAAAGGCCCCTTCCCTACTGACAGCGGGAGTTCTGTGTGTGGAGGAGAGGAAGCACATCAGGAACGGAGTTTGGAGTCAAGAAGACCTGGCTCAGGTCCCCGTCCCCCTGATTACTCACCACATGACCACCTGAGCAAGCAGCTCGTCCTCTCTGAAGTTAGGAATCAGCCGTCCTTTGATAAGGAGCCTCTTGGGCTGAACCCGGCCTGCCTCCTTCTAGCGGCTCAGAGACCCTAACACAGGTGTAATGCCACTTATTTAATCCTCTGTTGATGGACATGCAGGACATGTGGTCAAAACATGGTGATCACTTAATTCTTTAAAATTTATTACAGGAAGAGCTATATTGCTTTTAATCCCCCTCAGATATCCCTCTAGCTTCAAATGCATGTAGCCCATTATTCTTGCCATTTTTAGAGTCCTCTTTCGTGAATGTTTTTGGTTGTGCTATCATGCCTGCCTTGATAGCTTGAATCAATTTAAAAGGTTTACCTTTTGTGGTCATTTTGGCTTTGGGGAAGAGCCAGAAGTTACACAGAACCAGACCCATGTTTTGATAAACCTGCCTTTCCACTGGATGGCGATCATCAGCAGCTTTCATATCTTTTTATCACACCTCGTAAGATGCTACAAAAGACAACTTCCAAATCTGCTTCAGAAAGCAGCAAGAGCAGTGGGTAAGTGTGGTCGAAGTGAGAAGGAGTGCTTTGAGGGGCCCACGGCAGATGTCTCTTACTGTAATAAAATTGTTAAATTTAAGCATTCATTGTATATTTTGACCACACCTCCTACATTGCCTGTAGCTTTTGCTATTACAAATATCCCCGCATAGATCCTGGGTCACGGTGCATTTCTGTAGGAGGGCCTTCCAGAGGCGGGTGCTGGCCCCGAGTCTACAGATGGCAGACACTGGGAGGAGTGGTCATTGCCCTCCAGAAAGCTTGCCTGACTCCATTCATATCATCTGTAACTGAGAAAACATGTTAACAGCAATGAGGTACTGCCATGGAGAACTTAGCTACTTCAAGAACCAATACTATGAAGAAAATAACAGACAAACTGGTAGACCACTAAGTCATCATTTCAAAGCCATGCTAGAAACTCTCACCTGGGGCAGCAACCAACACAAGACACAAAGGGATCAGAGGCATGATCGACCTCAGAGCTGCTTTCCTCCAGTTCATGCCCCACCGCCTTCTCAGGAGTTCGCAGTCTTGGTGAGGCTGCTCTCAGCAGAAACATCCTGTTGCTAGGTGCAGAGCACACCCACCCCGGGCACAATTCCAGCTGAGAAATCTGTAAAGTGATATGTTTCCTCTGAAGGGTCAAAGCCCCAACAAGGAGATAGGCTTGAGCAGGTGACAAGGGCCCCAGTTCATACTCCTGGAAGCGGAGTTCTCCCAAATCCCTATGCCTTCAGGACCTGGCCAGCTTGGGAGACATTCAGTTTGCCAACGGCTGCAGTTCACGGAGGTACAGTGTCCTGCCCTGTTCTCTGCGTTCATCACACCCAGGTTTGGAGTCAAGACCCAGAATCTCAGTTTACCACCTTTGCAGGTGGCCAGCCGGTTGCTAGGAGAGGGTGGCACGCAACAGATTAAAGATGAGATGCAACAACAATCTTGTAACTGGCCAAGAGCCAACTGAAGGTTAGTGGATTGGTGTAAGTTAAAACTTGGGAGAAGAGGTCAGCTTTAGGATCCCTGATGGGAAATATCTAGCTGCAGGGAGAGTTAGCATAAAAACACCTCTGGAGGCAGCAAATTGACAGCCCGCAAGCTGTGGCCTACAAACATATGTTTATATGCACAAGTAGCATCTTTAAAAATTGAAGTAAAATAACATTTGATTATCCCTGGACTCCACAGTTTGCGAGAGTTCCCACCCCTCCCTACTATACCTCACTTTTCCCTTCCTTGCTGGGGAGGGGGGATCCTTGTTTGCAATCTGTGACTTAGAGATTTCAATCAATTTCTCTCGCCATAGGAGTTAACTGTTGTTATGGTTACCAAAATAGGATTATGCAATCTCTGATGTGTTCAATAGAAGGATAATGTTGAGAACAATGGAAAATCGTGTTTGGAGCACACTTTGCCCTATTCCACTGGATTTTTGGCTTGACAGAGAGCATTTCAAATGCCCAGGGAACGGCGGCTGGAGATGCCTCCAAGCCATGTTGTGTGAAGCCGAGCAGACTTTCAGACACCTTGGACTGGCGGCCTTACCTCAAGCTCTGCGGAGTGTTCCTTAATTAGACCACTGTGACCTCATCTGGGGACTGCTGTGATACCTAACTGTCCAGCCTAGTGTCTCCCTCTCTGCCCACCCCATATCAAGTTCACTTCAATGTGAACTTCAGCTCCTCAGCATCACCACCTTCATCCTGGTGGGTCACCTACCAGAAGATCTTTTCCTAACCACACCTTTTCCTCATCAATGTACCTGGCAAGTAATTATTTTAAAACTAAGCATAATCCTTTCCCTTGTTGCCTGTGGTCCTACCACGTTGGTCTTCTCCCTCCCTTCCAACATGCCTAGTCCACACCCACCTCTGAACTTTTGCTCTTATGGTTTTTTGTCTTTGAAATACCTCTTTACCTCTCCAGGAGCTTAGCATAGTTGGTCTTTTTTTCCACATTAAGTGTCCCACCTCAAGTGTCATCTGTTACCTTAAACAGAACTTTCATGCTCACATGTGACCCTTCTGATTGCTTTTTTTTTTTTTTCTTTTTGAGACAGGGTCTCGCTATGCAGTTCAGGCTAGCCTTGAGCTCACTTTGTAGCCCAGGATGGTCTCAAACTCACAACGATCCTCCTGCCTCAGCTTCCCAAGTGCTGGGATTACAGGCATGCTCCACCACACCCAGATTTGATTGCTTTTTTCATCAGTTTCCTAATTTTTCCCTAGCATCATTGCTGAAAATGACTGACCTACTGTAAACATACTGTCTGGATCCTCTACCAGAGCTGTCACTCACGGACAAGGCTTCTAGTCACTTTCCTCCCTGCTGCATCCCACTGCCCAGAGCACGTGTACATGGACTCGCTCTTTAAAAACTCTCAACAACTTCTCCTTGCTCTGAAGACCGAGATCAAAAGCTTCCGTGTGGCTGGCAGGACTCAGCAGGCTTGGCCCCGCCATCTCTCCAGCTGGCCGTCTACACCCGTCTCTCTGCTCCTGGCACCCCAGGTCTCTGACACAGTTTTGAAGACCTCTTCCACCTCAGGGCCTTGACGCTCACTAGGCTGTCTGCCGGCATGCTTGGGTCTCCACACGATTGACTATTGCTGCATGACCTCGCAGGCAGGCTCTCCGATGGTCCCCTCTAACGTGCCTCTCACCCCCACCGCTGCACACTGCCTTCCTCTTTTATTGTCTCCATCGCATTTACCACTAGACAGAATTAATTTCCTCCTTGGCTCGTTTGTTGTCAGCCCCTCTCACTGTTAAGTTCGATGAGGTCAGACAGCGTATGTTATTTGTGGAGTGGCCTTGGTGTCTCAGGAGTGCCCGGCAACCATGAGGCTTTCAAATATTTGTTGAGTACGGGAAGAATAAAACAGCCCTGGGAGGCAGCAGTGACCACTCCTGTTTCAGGAATACAAAGATGAGGTCCTAGAAGGCTTGTCACCTGCCCAAAGACCAATGGTGTACAAGCTGCTACCTGAATTCAGACCCAGCTCAGAGCTGCTCTGAGCCCCGATTCCTACCCTACCCCTCCTTCTAGTTGCATCACATGCTGCAGGGTCTTTCGTGACCTGCACATGTTGCAACAGAAGCCTCCATAGCCCATTTTCAGCCTACTACAGACTGTAAATACACAAGGATATGCATTCCTGGAGACATATGAGACACAGACACACGTAGGCGTGAATAAAAACCAGCTCTCCCGTCCCAGTGTGAAGTAATCACGGTCAGCCAGGTATTTGGCTGAACACAGCAGAATTAAGACAGAAATACTGTGTGAAAAAACACTGGCTTGTTGTTGAAGAAAATGCTCATTCATGTGTTCATTCATTCCTTCCTTCATCCACTCAAGTACCTGGGGAAGCCCACAGATGAGGAGAAACAGACGGTGTAGCACTGGCAGTCCGTTTGACCAATGTCAGGTAAGCATGTGGCAGTGTCTCTCAAAATGTGGGGCAAACGGCCTTCTGCACCATTCTCCTTGGATGCTGCCTGATCCTGGGTCTCATTTCCTGCTGAAGCAGAATTTCTGTTTCACTTGAACCTCACTATAAAGCTGTGGCTTGGAGCCCTTAGTATTCCCACTCTAGAGATGAGGAAGCTCCCCCACGTAGGTGAGGTGAGTTCCCGGACTGGAGTGGGAACCTACGTACACCTCCAGACTTCTCCTTTTAACCCCTCAACATTCCTTCATTCTTGGTTTTTGGTAGTGGGAATTGAACTCACGTTTTCATGCGGGCTAAGTCCAAGTCTACTGTTGTACTGCACTCCAACCCCTTCATTTTTAAAAAACTCTTTCCGCAGATATTGGGGCTTATGAGAACCCCTCATTGCTCAAAGTGTGATACGCCAATCATGTATCATCACCATCAGCTGGAGTTTGTTAGACGTGTAAATTCTTGGAGCCCACCCTAAGCGCTGCATAAGGACATCTGCTTTTAAACAAGAGTCCCAGGTAATTCCTGTGCACAACAGAGATCACTGGTGAGCACAAACCCAGAAAGCAGAATGAGTTTGCCTTCCTAAGCGTCCAGGTAAGCTGAGAAAACAGAGCACCCAGTCATGGGAATAAATCTTAGTGTTTGCTGCCACCTTGAGGTGAAACTCCTCACTGAGGCAGAATTTGCTCTTCTCCATGCAATAAATGCAGAAAGATGGAACTGGCTGAGCCAGACTCTCCACCTTTTCAGCCTTGTACCTTGAGAGACCACTGCAAAATTCCAATATGTGATGAAACAGCCCCTGGGATGCATGGCAACAGCTAGACTCTTCCGGTGGGTGTCCTGCAAGTCACAGCATTCTCAGCCCCAGCTGACGGATCCAAAGAAGCTCAAGTTTTGTTGAGCACCAGATCGTTGGCATTCCTATGGATTCTTTCCCCCTCTGGGATTCAAATGTGCATCTGAATGTGACTGTCACTTGGTGTGTGATTCTTTTTCTCATTGTCACTCCAATGGCGGTGGTTACATGGTCAGATCAAATCTATGAGGTATTCCACAATGTGCCGTGGAATTTCCCACCGTTCTGTCAAATGAATCATGGGTGACCTTTTTGAAGTTGGAACAAGGCCAGTCTCATAAATGATGTCTCTAACGCCTGTAAGGAATAAGGAGGAGATTCTGAAATTTTCCTACGTGCTTTACCCAAAGCATCTTAGCACTCAACAGTGCCTTTGGTCACTGTGTGATTCCCTTTGGAAAATTTTGAGCTGAAGAGTTAAAGAAATCCAACACAGCTACCGCCAGCAAAAGAACCCACAATGGACCACCCTCAGCTGTATCTACCTGTACCCCTTAAGGTTGCCTATGGAAGAGCTGGCCACCATCAAAGATCCCAGCCACCCATGAAGAAAACTGGCTCATTCAAAAGAAGGGGCATTGAAAGGTGGGTACTGGGGATTCATTTATTTTTCTGTGGAATGAAGTTTTGGGGACTTTTCATTAAATCCACCGTGAGGATTTGGGAGGGTAACATGTCTTTCTAAGCAATCCCCTTAGAAACAAAGACTGTGGATTGGGGAGGAAGAACTATATTGGATCTCAAAGCTAAAGTCACCATAGAAGCCATATTCTGTGATCAAAAAGCCTGTGCTTTAACAGGGGCAACCTTTACTTTCCACCTGAATTTGAGTTTTAATGTGCCATACAAGACTAAAATAAACACTGATAATAAATTGATATATTTAGCATCAAAAGTCAGTCTTCTTATCTCCATGCAAATACCATTATTTTGAAAATGTGTTACTGCCTTCTTCACAATAAGGCTAGAGTCAATGCTTTTGGTTCCCTGTCCTAGCAATTTTGCCTGCTGAAATATATACCAAGCCTGTTTAGCAGCACACACTTTTTTCTTTAAACAATGAAGTATTTTACTGTGAAAGCGCATATAACTGGTCATATGGAGTGCTGCATTTGTTCGTGATGCAGATGATACGCTTCTGTCTGGAAATAAAATGTGAATTCAGGAGCACCGTGAGGGGTTAGGGCCTCATTCCAACACAATTCTAATAGTCGTGTGCCGTTCTTTTCCTTCCCACATTACTTGGTGCAATTAGAAAGCATAATTTATTGCTGTTCCATGGAAGAGTTCATTTTCAAAAGGAAAAGAACTTTACTGAATCCTAGATCTTTGTTTCTGAGTTATCATTCCCGTCCTAGCACTAAAGAGCACTTACCTAGGAAAATGTGCGGGGACCCTAACGTGAGGTCCCCAGCACGGGACTGGAATCCAGACTGTTGAAGTAAAGCCTTTTTCTATCGTGTTTCTCGGCCTTTTTCTGTCGTTAATGACAAGTGCACGCTCTTTCCTGAAACATCAGAACAGTCTTAAACCTGATATTTCTTACCAATGACAAAACCACAAAGGCGGGCATGGAATACTCCGAATGTAAAATGTTTTCACACTTTACTGACATCTTCCAGAAAATTCTCGCAGGAACTAGGCGCAGCTCTAAGGACGAAACATGAACATCCCTGATGCCCCCGGGTCGTGCAGGGCAGTCTGCAGCCCTCTGTCCTCGGCCCAGGAGCAGGCTGCCGGCTCTCCCGCCCGCCTCCCTTGCTCCGGTGTAGCTGCTCCTACACGCTCACCACCCTCGTCTCAGTCTTGTGCCACAACGGCTGCCACTGCCTGAAGCTTGACTCGGTTCTGGCACAAATTATTTCCGCCTTCCTCAGGATGGTGTGCCCGTTTTCACGTGAGAAAACCCAAAGCTTTCAGAGGCTGGGGCTGACCAGGGTTACACAGAGGGGAACAGCAGTTCTGACAGAAATCCAGACCGAGACGCCCAGCACCTGCCCTCACTGTTTTCTTCCTTTGGGTGAAGCGGGCTCGGCTCGGAGCAGGGGCTGGAGACTATCCATGCTCCTGGTGGGACCAGGATGTTTGCTTTAGCTAGTACACAGAGACTATTTCAATGGTTATCAATTTATTCTAACTCATATTAGAAATATATACTTTATGCTATAAATAAAGTATCATATAACACAATATAGTAGAGTATATTATGTCACAGCTGAGATTTTATGCTGACAAATGAAGATATACATTCACACAAAAGCTTGTATATAAATGTTTATAGCAGCTTTATTCTTAACAGCCCCAAGCTGGAAACAATTAAAATGGCTTTCCACAGGGGAATGGTTAAACAAAATGTGGTTTATTCATATCATGGAACATTGTTCGAGATGGAAAGAAGCAAACTGTTGATACAATCTGGACAAAAGTCCAGAGAATTATCTTAAATGAAAATTCTAAGGCTGAGGCAGCGGCTTGGTGGTAGAGTCCTTACCTAACACGTTCGAAATCTGGGTCCATCTCCACCATCAGAAAAAAAAAACAGCAAATCCTAGCAGGTCATACACAAATACATTCCTTTTGTAGAACATGCTTCAAAGGCTAAAACCTTGTGTAAATAGTGTATTCGTGTTTGCCGTGTTGGGCAGGCACGGCTGTAAAACAGGAGGCACCCAGCGGCAGGGAAACATTCCGTGTCTTGTTGTACTGATGTCAGCTTCCTAGCAGTGATGATATATCAAGCTTTTTCTTTTTGCATCAAGCTTTTGCAAGATGATAACTGAGTGAAGAATATGTAAAATTCCCATGAATTATTTCTTACAACTACATATGAAACTATAATTACCTGAAAATAATAACTCTAATTTAAAAAAACCAAGAATTTCATATATATTATCAATATGATGATGCTGACCAAAGAAACAGTTGTAAGAAGTATTTAGGTAAATAATGGTATCCAGACATAGGTGACACTCACGCTTGCATAGAGGTTAACAACACAAATCTTGGGATCAGATCCCTTGGGCACAAATTACAAGTCTCCCAAACCTTAATTTCTTAAAGAGATGGTGGCGTAAGTACTGAATTATGTAACATGGTAGGAAACCACTTGGAAGAATATTTAGCACATAGAAAAGTACTAGGAGATGTCTTTTATTACAAAACTATATGAAAATTACAAAGGTAGTATGTGACTATTTGAAATTTTGGAAGCACAAGTTTAGAGAATTTTATCTTAATGAGTGTTCTAGGCAAATGTAGCATGCATACGGGCTAAGAGCTTGCTCTTTAGCGATTACACCAGGAGACTGCCATCCCCCAGAACTGCCGTGTCCAACAAAATGTATGTCAGACACTTTTGAAATAGCATTCAAATTTGCCAGTACGAGGCTATGTATCCTATCAGTCATAGATAAGATCAGCGTTCCAGCCCTGGTCAATGAGTTTAACCCATGTCTTAGTGTGGTCATCCTGAAGATAACCATGTCCTTCTGACAGTACAGTGAACATGAAATGAAATAGTGCCCACACTGCACTTGATACAAGTTGGTGACAAAACACAAAGAACTACTTGTTTTGCACCCCCCTCCCCCCCGCTTGATCTGTGGTCTTCCGTTTCATTTTCTGGAATTTTGTTCTTTGTTTGCATTTGAATTTGGATTTTAGTAACTTATCCATCTTTAACCTTCCGATATCCTTGGTGCAATTTTTATTTGTCTAGATGGCACAGGGCTGTGTCTACTGACTTAGTAAAACAAAGCGTGTTGGTCCCCAAAGAGGAATCATCCAGTGAAAGTGACGGAGGGTTTTATGAAAGCCAGCAAAACCAGAAAAAAAACCTGATGAGGAAAATGAGGACTGCTCTCGGGAGAATCCTGCCTTACACGTGCAGGGGCAAGTCAGCGGGCACCAGCAGAGAGGACCCCACCAACCCCAGGAAAGGCCCCCTGTCAAGCGCACAGAGGCTCCTTCCTAGAATTGTCAAGGAGCTTCCTTCGCCCAGGTCATTTACCAAACCCAGAATGAGAAAGCTCTCACAGACTGGTAAGCAAAGGCAGCCTGCCGTTACTTGTCAAGGCCCGAAGCAACGGCAACAGGGGGGGAGCGGCTTTTGCCACCCGCGGTAATTTGGATGTTGCGTGTGCTCTTCCCTGCAGCCCTCCCCCGTGTGTCTGAGGTGTGGTTCACAGGGTGGCGTTGCTGGGAGGTAGTGAAATCTTTAGCGGGTGGGGCGTAGGTGGGACCGTAGGCTCCTGGGCCTGTCTTTGGAGGGGTCTCGGGACCTAGGCCCCTTCCTTTTCCTCTTTTGTTTCCTGGTCATGAGGCGAATGGCTTTGCCCACTATGTGACCCCCCATCATGCCATCCAGCACCCTTCCAGAGGCCCTAAAGCAATGAGTCTTCCTGCTCGGGACTGAGAGCCAGGACGTACCTTAGGCTGGCGCTCCTAGGAGCTCTTACAGTGCAGAATCTCAGGCTTCGAGCAGGTCTGCTGAGTCTGAGCTGTGTGTCTGCAAGACCCCAGTTGAGTCCAGCCCCCGCGTTCTGAGAAGCATTAGATGAGATGGACTGTCATCCCCATTCCTCCAGGTCTGATTCGTCAGTGGCCAAATCAACCCAAAGTCATTTTCTGTTTAATGTCGATGCACATATGTGCGCACGTATGTGCGTGTACACACATAAACATAGATATATACTAAAAAATCAAAGTAAAGTGGGATTTTGTTTTGGGAGAAGGTGGTGCCATAGCTTTTCAAATGGCTGCTTCCAAGAGTAGGTGCACTGGGAGAATTAAATGAATAAAAGCTGTGACTGGTGATGTTAGGTTTTCTTTTATCTGTTTTTGTTTTTGTTTTTGTTTTTTTGTTTTAAGGTAGGGTCTCACTATGTAGCCCAGGCTGGTGTCAAATTTGTGACTCAGCCTTCCAAATGCTGGGATTATAGGCAGATATAATATTTGAACTGTTAACTTTCTTTGTATTTGTCTCTAATGGTGGCAAAGTTGCACACTAATTAATGCAGGAAAAAAAATAAGCTCTGCAGAGCAAGCTTGGGTCAAGTGAAAATAGGAAAAAAGAAAAAAAAATTAAAATACACTCCACAAGGCCCGGCATGGTGACACATGGCTATGTCCCACTACTCAGAAGGCTGAGTGAGGCCGGAGGATGGCCACAGCTCGAGGCCGGGCTGGGCCACACAGTGAGACTCTGTCCCTAATAAATAAATAAACCTATATCCTATGGCATAGAGCTGTCACGAAGAGACACAATAGCCTGCACTGTTAACTTTAAGTCTTTTTTGCAAGATAGTAATTCTATTTTGGGGGGAGGATTCTCTGAGTTATGACTAACAATATCCCCAAAGTTTACATTCCTGTCTGTAGCTTTTTAAAAAAATTAAATACACTATTTTTAAAGCAGTTTTAGGTTTACAGAAAAATTGAGCAGAAAATACAGAGTTCTGACATACTCTTCCCCTCGTCCATGCCTATAGCTTCCCACAGTCAGTGTCTTGCCTGGGTGTGGCGTGTTCCCCATCACTGGTGGGCCAGGTGGACATTATTATTAATCAGCGCTCACAGCTCACGTTACAGCCCATTCTTTACGTTGAGCAGTTCCATGGGGATTTGAAAAGTATAGAAGGCTGTTTTTATCCTGTGACGATGCTCACAGGATGACCACAAGGGTGAAAACTTGGAGGGTACCTTCATGGAGGCCAGGGGGAGCCAAGGAAGCAAAACCCTAGTGGTTTGCAGCTGGCCGGATGCCTTGCAAACAGACTGACCTCTGGAAATAACAGCCCCTAATGCAAGCACCCGAGCATGTAGTGTTTACCTGGTTATGGAATGACCTGCACATTTCTGCTGAGAAGAGCAAAGAGGACACCCTTCCATACTGCCAGGCTACAGCTGGGGGCCCCACAGGAAACAGAGGACCAAATTCCTCCTCCTAACCCATGCGCTGATGTTTTTTTCATCTGAGATGGAGTGACAAATCTCTCACCTAAGGCTTCTCCACAAACGTACCTAATAACCTTTAGATGCGGCCCTAACTTTAGTACCTTGTCTTGGCTGTGACCTGAAGAGATTTTCCTCTTCTGAACTCCAGAACGCTCTTAATCTATTTCATAAATGTTTGCTAAGTGCTTATTGCAAGTGTATCACAGAATGTGGGATCAAGTAGCAAACAGAGCAGACTGCGTGACAGCATAAAGGGATTTCAGACAATATGCAGATAATTACACTGATGCAAAAGCAGGAGACCAGAGTACTATTGAGACACATCAGGAGGTCTAATTTTAGGGAGATTCAGGAAAAGCCTCCCTGAAGAGGGGACAGCTAAATTGAGATCTGAAGGATGAGTAGGAGTTAGAGCAGGAGAGTCTTAGGCATAAGGAAGAAGTGAAATTCAGGCCGGGAGAGGCCTGAGAGAGGCTAATTGAGGTGGTAGCGCATGCTAAGTAAGAACTTTTAACTTCCTCCTAAGGGTGGTAAGAAATAGCCAGGCCTGGTTCAGGGCTGTAATCCCAGCACTGGGGAAGCTGAGGCTCAGCCTCAGGGGGATCCCTGTGCATTCAAGGCCAGCCCTGAACATAGACGTCTCAAAACACCAACACAAAACAAAACAAAACAAAACAAGCCACTGAAAATGTTCAAGGTGGGCTTTTTTTTTTTTTTTTGGTCTTTTTGAGACAGGGTCTCGCTATGCAGTTCAGGCTGGCCTTGAGCTCACTCTGTAGCCCAGGCTGGTCTCGAACTCACAACGATCCTCCTGCCTCAGCCTCCAGAGCGCTGGGATTACAGGTGTGCGCCACCACAGCTGGTTTAAGGTGGGGATTTATACAACCTGATTTGCATTTGTAAAAGATAGCTATGGTGGCAGAATGCAGAAGATACGGGATTAGGGTGGGTGTTTTTCATGGTGTTTGGGATGAGGAGATAACGGAAGAGCAGTTGTGGACAGAAGCTGTGACAGCTGAGGTAGCCGGGCAGTGGAAGGCGGGGGAGAGGACTGGCTAGGCTTCGGGAAGGCAGCATTCACTGAGATTATGAACAATGGATCTGGACTGTGGAAAAATCATGAGTTCTGCTGGGCTTGCAGGTACCTGAGGAGGCTGAGACAGGAGGATCATAAGTTCAGAGCAGTCCTGGGCAACTTAGTGAGAATTTTTTCCAAAATAAAATGGTTAAAAAAAGGGGCAGGGAATGTATCTCTGTGGTAAAGTGCTTGCCTAGCATGAGTGAGGTGAAGGACCATTAAAGAAGGGAAAGGAGGAAGAGGAGAAAGAAAATAAAAATGAAATCATGAGTTCTGGTTAGACTTTCTGAGTTGAGGTCCCTGCAGAACAGCTAAATGTTTGTGGTCCTGGTGATCAACTTGTAACACCCAGCTGAACGGAGCCAGCGTAGCGCTGGGTGTGGGAGGCTCATCTGAGCGTTGTTGCCAGCAGCATGAGAGGCAGAACTGGAGAGGAAGAGAAGCTATAGGGAGCTGTTTGTTCTCCTGGAGGAGCTTGTCATGCTGGCTTTCCTGATGAACTCGGCAGTTTTCATTGTCAAGAGAGCTTGGGACCTTGTTGTCACTGAGACTGGCTTTGGTTCTCTTTGGGGGAGCTCTGGTCCTCACTTTGAGCATTGCTTCCTGGCTCTGGAGGGGAAGATGGTACACTGTTCAGTGTCCTGGAGAAGCTTGTCATGCTGGCTTTCCTGATGGGAACTCAGCTGTTCTCACCGATGGAGGAGCTTGGGACCTCCTTGTCGCTGAGGATGGCTGCAGTACTTTCGTGGGGAGCTCTGGTTCGTACTTTGAGCATCGCTTCCCAACTCCAGTTCAGATCTCTCAGCCTGCTAGCACAGATCCTTCAGCCCGCTGGCACAGACTTTCTAGATTCTGCCGCTGACCTTTGGGCCTTCCCAACACAGATCCGTGAAACAGGTCTGCATGAGACATTGTCATGGGCTTTAGGCCTCCTTCTGGACTTGTGGGAGGTATTGTTATGGGCTCTAGGTCTTAAGCTGGACTCATGCAGGACATTGCCGTGGGATCTAGGCCCTCAGCAAAATTCTTTTGGTCTTGGGGCTGGGGACTTAGCTCAGCGGCAAAGCACCTGCCTGGCAAGTGCAAGGTCGTGAGTTCAGTCCCCTGTACCCGGAGAAAAACCAAAAAAAAAAAAAAAGAATTCTTTTGGTCTTTAGTGTGTGGACAGATTTCCTGCACTCTCTTTGGGTGACAAAAATAATTCTATAAATTATGTGTCCTGTATTGTTTCCCTTGCAATCCCTGGCCACAACAGTGTTAAATAGAAAAGTGTCATTTCAGGGCCCTGCCCCTGGTAATTTCTAACTAAAAGAAGAATAACTGCAAGTTCACTACCATCTGCAGAAAATACGATTTTAGTTTTATCACTAAACTTTAATGCTATTGATATTGGTTTTCAATTTATTGTAGTGTTTTAAAGCTGCATATATATATATATGTATGTGTGTGTGTGTGTGTGTGTGTGTGTATTTACTGAGTCGAGAATTGAATTGATATAAAATATATATATATATATGTATATATATACTTTTTTTTTTTTTTGTCTTTTTGAGACAGGGTCTTGCTATGCAGTTCAGGCTGAACTTGAGCTCACTTTGTAGAATAGGCTGGCCTTGAACTCAAAATGATCCTCCTGCCTCAGCCTCCCAAGTGCTGGGATTACAGGAGTGCGCCAACACACCCAGCTCGCATGGCTTCTGGATATAGGAAAAACCTTTTTATTCAGATGATATGTGAACACTTGCGCTTTGACCACATTTGTGGAGAGGAAATTGAAACTGTGCTTCAGTCAATAATGAGCACACAGGGCAGCCGTGCAGCTGGGGGCGACTTGTCCTAACTCCACAGGGTTAGCGGGGAAGCAACACAGCGCAAAATTACCCCCGGAGGTGACCTCCTTGTCAGAAGGGTTTGACGTCCACTGAGGTCACAACCACGAGAGGCAGATGTGTACGGAGAAAGTGCAGAGTGAAGAAAAGCAAACCCATTTTATTTCTTTATTTAGGGCTTTTTGAGTCAGGGTCTTGCTATATAGTTCAGGCTAGCCTTGAACTCATTATATAGCTCAGGTTGGCCTCCAACTTGTAGTGATCCTCCCGACTCAGCCTCCCAAGTACTGGGACTACAGAGGTGCACCACCATGCCTGGCTAGCAAATCCATTTGTGTTTGTTTGTCTGTTTATTTACCAGTACTGGGAACTGAGCTCAGCTTTCACACTGAGCTGCATCCCCAACCCCCTTTCAAAATTTTTTGTTTTCAAACAGGGTCTAAATTGCTTAGTTTTTCAGGCTGGGCTTGAACTTGTGATGCTCCTGCCTCAGCCTCCCAAACTGCTGGGATTACAGGTGTGAATCACTTTTTATTTAACCCCAAAAATAAAAGCTACTGAGCAGCACATGATGCCAAAAATATTTTCAAATAGGAAGAATTTGCTTATTGTGACCTTCACAGGTTCTTTTCTTGTTTCATTTCTCTAAGCAACTATACAACTCGATGTAGAAGCGGAGACAGAGGAGATAACTCAAGGAAATACATTCCTCAGGGCCAGGAGAACTACCAAGCGGTTATCTGTGACGTCTCTGCCTTCGGGACTGCAAAAGGTAAAATGCTAAATCCAATTTACCTCTGGGGACCTGTACATAAGTCAGTGTGTGTGGATTTTGCAAAAACCAAACTTTGTCCGACCTAAATTCCTCATAATAAATGCTTTAAGTCTGGTGCTTAGCTGGGCGTGGTGGCGCACACCTGTAATCCCAGCACTTGGGAGGCTGAGGCAGGAGGATCCTTGCGAGTTTGAGGACAACCTGGGCTTCAAAGTGAGCTCAAGTTCAGTCGGAACTGCATAGCAAGACCCTGTCTCAAAAAGACCAAAAAAAAAAAAAAATTCTGGTGCTTGTGTCTCTTCTCCACAAAGTCAGGACGCGGAGAAGAAAAGGTCAGATTCTCTACTTCTCAGCTCAGACTGCTCACCTCCTACTGCAATCTGGACAGTGGTTGAGTCTGAGCTTTACGCCAGCTGCTCAACCGTTGCAGTGTCACTCAGAACATCAGCAATCTGGCCAAGGGGCACGTGCAGACCGGCGCAGCCCAGCAGAGTTCCCTGCAAGGACACAAGTGTCTGTCATCTAGTAAAGTCGCCATTAGCCACACGTGACTTTGAGACCTTGAAATGTGGTCAGTGCAGCAGAGGAGATCAATTCCAGATTTTCTTCAAAAAGGAATTGATAAAGGAGAAATCTGAGTCCTGCACAGGAAAAAGAGAGACCATAATGTTAAGTGAAATAAATCAGACACATAAGTTTAAATATTGCACGATTTCTCTTTCATAAGAAGCCCAAAGTCTAAATAATTTAAAGAGCAAAGTAAAAGACAGATAATAGAAAAAAGGGGGACAGATCTTTTGCAAAAGGGAAGGGGACCAAGAGATGAAGGGAAGGGAAAGAGGAAATAAAAAGAATTAAGATGTGTTATAGACACACACTAACTCTCCACTATCAAAGTATTCATTATGCACTGCAAACAAGTACTAATACAAATGGAATTGAATTGAAATAGACACATTTATGGCATGGACAGCATCATACAATATGACCTAGGACTCTCCAACCAAAGATTTACTTGTCTGAAAGTTGCCCAGATTGTTTTTAGGAAACAATGTCATAATCAGAGAAGTAGATGCTTTTCTTGAGATGGGGCCTTGCCATGTTACTCAGTCTTGAACTAACGGGCTCCAGTGACCATCCTGCCCCAGCCTCCTGAGTGGCTAATACCCCGAGCATGCACCACCATGCCAAACTGCCCAATTTAAAAAGTAGTGCCCTGAAATGTTACTGTTTCATATAAACACTTACTTAAAGCTGATACTACGTTCAGGCTGTGTTGTTAAGTGCTTTGAGTGAATGGACTCAGATGACTATCAGGACAGCTCTACCTGGTAGGTAGCAGTACCAGCCTTGCTTTCAGGCTAACATTCAGCACTTGAGTAATAGGACCAGTTGAGTGGCAGGAGCCAGGCTTCTGACACCGGAAGTCCTGGCTCTAGAATCTTCCTTCTTTTTTCTTCCTTCTTTTTGGTGGTGTTGGGGGTTGAGCCCAGAGTCTCCCATATGCTAAGCACATGTTCTAAAAGTGAGCTAGGGCCAGGGATATAGCTCAGCCGCATACGTGCCTGGCTGGCAAGTGCAAGGTCCTGAGTTCGATTCCTGGTACCAAATAAATAAAGTGGGCTAAGTTCCCAGCCCCTCATTCTTGATGACTGTGCCACGTATTAATAGTACTGCCCAATTATTCTGACCGATACGACGGCCAAGAGCTACAGGTGACTATTTACATGAATTAAAATTAAATGACATTGAAATTTGAGTTCCTCAGTTTTACTATCTACATTTGACCAGCATAGAGAACATTTTCATCCATAGTTCTATGGAACAGTGCCCTAGAACCTCGTGGGGTACACCAGTATTAGTTTTGAATTTTGCCTGTGGTAAGGTTCATGTTTATTGTGCCCCTAACATGTTCTGTGCAATTTCTAGGTACGGAGGCCACAACTATAATCTAGAGGTCATGATCCTCCCTTTGGGGAACTCACTGTCTTACAGAGGAGAGACGCATTAAACTGTAATACTGCAGAGCACTGCTGTGAGGATAACCTTTCCAGCAAATGGCACTGAGACAAACATCTGTACGGGGAAATAACGAAATATGATCCCTATTGCCTCTCACATACAAAAATTAATTCCTATTGGGTTGTAGATTTAAGTGGGAAAAGCAAAATCTCAAAACTTCCAAAAGACTATAAGACAACTGTCATGATTTCAGGTCAGAGAAAGACTTGGTTTTTTGTTTGTTTGGTTTTGTTTTTGAGACACAGTTTAGCTGCTGTGTATTTCCGGTTGGCCTTTAACTCACTACAATCCTCTTGCCTCGGCTTCCTGAGTGCTGGGATTACAGGTGTATGCCACTACATCCAGCTCTGAGAAAGATTTCTTAGTACATGTACCACATTGGCCACAAAGACTGATATATTTGGCTATAACTACATTAAGAATTTCTGTTCTGCCAGGTATGGCAGCACATACCTGTAATCGCAGCACTCAAGAGGTTGAGACAGGTGGACCCCTGAGAGTTTAAGGCCAGCCCACCAGTCTGGACTATATATGAGTTCAAGGTCAGCCCAGCCCAGCCCAAACTACATAGCAAGACCTTGTTTAAAAACAAACAAGAAACCCCCAAAAGTCTCTGTATTTCAAAAAACATTAATTTGGTGATTATCAATTAGCTATAGAAGGGTTTTTTTAGGCCTCAGATTATTCTTTTGAATTCATCATCCACATTTCAAAACTAGGATTTTCTAATTAAAATATAGATTTTTCCAACTTTCTTTTGAAAAAGCAGAAAGATTTAGAAACACAAGGCCCACAATTTCTCAGGGCAATCAATAGGACCTGCAAAGAAGTGCACCTCTGCAGGAGGCCTGTTCTTTCCGAACTACACAGCTCCAAAGGATCCTGGTTTACAAAGCCTGCCTAGCTAGGCGCTAGACATGGTAATAGCTGTATTCAATCAGTATAAAAATAGCTTTGGAGCTACCAAGTGTGAAGGATACCTGGTAGGAAGACGCACTGGGATTATGCGAGAGAAAAAGGAAGGCTCCTGCTTGAGATGGATCAGGGAAGCTCTGCAAAGGGGCGCTGGAGCGGCAGCAAGCAGGCAGGGCAGCAGAGGCGCGGCGGGCTCCATCTGTGAACTCCCTCTTCAGGCGGAGGGTCGGACCCAGGTGTGGCACCACACCCTGCTTCGTGGAGGTTTCACAACAGTCCTCGTGCTAATGATCACGTACAAGGGGAAGGCACAGTGAACTACTGAGCCTGAAAATGGCCCATTAGCCAGGACCTGGGAATGGCTTCCAACAGCCACACTATCAGGGCAGGCGCTCGTCGCCAGAGAGCCAGGGACAGAAAGTCTCAGGCATGGCACAGAAAGAACCCACAGCTTGCTTTTGTGTTTGGAGACACGACTGCCGTGAACATCAGAAACCTGCAGAGATGGGGCTGAATTAACAACCGGACCCCGCGATAATGAGCCTTCGGGGGCACTGGTCCACAACAGCCCCACTCTCGCGGTGCTCCGCAGCCAACCCCCCTTCCCCTCACGAACGACCTGCTTTCCTCCTGCCACTGAGTACCCTCCCAGCGCCAGACAGCCTCATCTCTCTGCAGAGGGAGCTCTGGGCACAAAGCAGACACACGGGGCACAGAGAACACGGACATGGGCTCCAACCCGGTGTCAGGTGGCAAATGTTCCCTTCATAAGGGAATAGCCGAAGGGTGAGAATTTTACTATAAATGCCAGCGTGGAAATAACTTTGGTATTTCCTAATTCTGGATGTTTCTGTATTTTTACAATAGGTATCATATTCATCCAAAAAGAGGTCATATTTTCCAGGGCTTAAAAAAAAGAAACGTGGCGTGGAAAACATCCTCCAAAAATCAGACTTGACAGTCGGAAAGCTTCAAATGCAGGTAGTGGACAAAGGCTTTTACCTTGTGCCTCAGACACAGCAGAGGATCAGGCAGTAATGGAGTGCACGGTCCTGCTAGACAGCACGCATGCGGGACGTAATTGACAATCAGCATTAAGAAACAATGTCAGTGGGGGGCACCCCGAGAGTGGTTCAAGGATTGCTAAGGGCACCCAGGATGATGTTGTGTGCCTAGTAAATATTAAGTGAATTCCATTAAAGTGAAGTCTACACACACAGACTTCGGAGAAGAAAGGGGCTTTATCACTGGGTGGTAAATACATGATTTCAAGCTCCACTTGCTATGGCTTGAATTAGAATAATACTTTGGGACTTGCAAAAACGTCCCCAATTCCTGAACTCCACTCAGGAAAAGCAACTAGCTCTTTGGCTTTGACAAGTCTTTCTAATACATAATTTCCTCTGTCTGCCACAGGTGGATGACCTTTTAGAAACAGTGACCGATAAATCTAAGAAACTGTTGGCCCAAAGACACGCTGAGCTTCAACAGTGTGAGTTTCTAGGAGACGAAATTCTTCAGTCTTCTAAGCAATTCCAGAGGATATCCAAGAGAACTATGAGGAAGTATAAACTGAAAAATGTGTGCTTCCCATGTACCTGCTGCTGCTTCTGACTTTTCTGGAGAAGTTATCTTTTGTAGGGATTCTTACCTTTTAATACATACTCTGGATTCAATTTCTGTAGTGAATTAATAAATAGGGGGCTTTTTATAATAGAATATTCTGTCTAAAAGCTCTTTAAAAAAGATCTTTTCTCAAAAACTGATTTTTAATTGTGAGTCCATATAAACAGCTTTTTTTTTTTTTTGCTGCATAATCCTTATTAATAATAGAAAACAGAAACACTTCTCAGGGTTTAGCAATTCTACAAAGAAATTCCTCCCGTAATAATTTGCCAGATGAAATTAGAGGAAGCATTTAAAGGTATTTTGACACCTTTAATATGACTACTGAGGCAATTTTAAACTTTCATTTTTAAAGATAAAAATTCTTATTAAAATTACAAAAATATACCCCAGTTAAGCTATGATTCATGCAGTGTCATGTCTCTGACTGAAATAAATGGATAAGATTGGAAGCTAAGAAGTACTGTATATGTAATTTAACACTTAAGAAAACTACCAAGTCATTCAGCCTTACCTTAATTTTTACAATCATTATGAAATCCTTTATGGAAGACAATCTGAACAAACTACCCCAAACAACTCATTATATTAGTATATATTTTTTCTATTAAAAAGACAGAAAGAAAACATAACAACAAGCCATTTAACAATCACATTCCTCAAGTACCAAAGAGATAGGTAAGAGAGCAATGCCTGTGAACTTACTATGCATCTTACAGTTACCTCCTACACCAGTGATCCTTAGCATCATGGAAACTTTCCCTGCCATAAACATTTTGCACATAATTTTATATGTCTGTGGCCCCCTGAAGCCTAGTCATGGACTTTGTTTTTAAAAGCGGTAGTAATTTCGGAACGGACTCATTTTCCCCTGTATATCCTAAAAATGGTACCTTCTCACAATCCCCAACTTGTTTTATAAAGCAGCTGATGTTACCACTTAACAACTACCTGGACTGTAAGGAGCACAAACATCCAGCTCTAAACACATTTTATTAAACATACTGAGTGTTGCTTTCTGCCTTTTAAAAATAAAAAATGTGTTTTAATAAAAAAAATACACTGAAGTCATTTTCCTTTGTGTGAAGAAATGAGTGAAGGAAGCATTAATATTTGAAAACAAAGTATTCACTGCCAAAACGAGCACAGCAAATTCCAAGCACACTAAGATCACTGCAGCTCCTTCAATGTTCTTGGGAATGGTGAGCGATGAGCCTGCTACGGCTTAGGATCCGCGTCTATGGTCGTTTCTTGGGCTTCCTCTACTTCCGAGAGCTTTTCATCATCTATAATGAGAAAGAAACACAAAGTTTCTGTCGAATTTGCCTAAATTTCATATTTAGTGTATGCATGAAGACATTTCTATCCTTTACTAGACAATACATTTAAAGTAAGGATGGACAAAATGTAATCGTTCCACACAAATGTTTCATTTAAAAAATACTGTTTTGCTTGTTGCTATTAGGTGAATCAAATGTTAAAATGTGTGTAATAGATTTCACACACACACAAAAATCAGGGCCTGAGGCTTTTCTTGAAAATAACGAAAAGTCCCAGAACTTTCCCGCTGGCTCCACTCAACACAAGGATGAAGCTTCAGTTCTCCTAGGCGCTCCTGCTCACTGGGTGTGCAAATGTCGCTATGCAGAGTACTGAGTACTCACTACTGCCTGCCTGGGCCCGAATCACTGCTTTATTGTAATAAACCACAGAAAAATAAATAAAGCCAGAAAAATTCCATATCCACAATCCTTGAGCTTTCTTCAAAGTTACTCGCTATGTATTTAAATCACGTACTATTAACAATTCAACCCTTTGGCACGGATCAGAATGCTGGGCAGAGGAACGGCTTCCAATACTCTCCACCGCCACCCTCCTCGGTGACTCCGGACACGCTCTCTCCCCGGATGCTTGCTTCAGAAGTACACCTCTCAGTCATCCGAAAGTCTCCCCAAACGTCCCTTCCGGGGCCATCTCACTTACTTTCCAGGGTTTGCTGAAGCTCGTGGATGGTGCTAAGCAGGACATGAAACTGCTTCCGCCGCAGTTCCAGCTGTGATAACAAGAAGAGCGGTTTACACAATTCAGTCTGTGAGACACACACAAGAAAGGCTGGCTGTGTGGCTAAATACCTTATCTTCCACGCTTTCTTTAATATGTGAAAGGTGCTCTAATTCTTTCCCCAGAGCCTCTAGTTCCCTAAAAAAAAAAGAAGAAGCCAGTGTTACATTTTGCTACTGGATAAACAGAATTTACATTTAATATTGAATTTTTAAATGACTAAGTAGTATTTTTAAAATAAAAAATATATAAACAATTATAACATTTCACTATAGCAACACTTAAAGCTGGGGATTTCTTAACTCCTAAATATGGACTATTTTCATTAAAAATACAGTTTTAGATAAAAAATTTTAACATACAGGAAAACACAGAAAATAGAACACCCAAACCCAAGAACTGATGTATTTGGTCATACTAATTTCAAATATTTCTTTCAGTAAAAGAAATAATCACTCCTGATTAACTTGAAATGTCCTTCGAGCCAGCATATATACAGGCATGGTGGCACACGCCTATAATCCCAGCACTTGGGAGGCTGAGACAGGAGAATCATGTGAGTTCAAGGCCAGTCTGGGCTCCATAAGCAAGTTCAAGACCAGCTTGCACTACATAGTGAGACCCTGTCTCAAAAACAAACAAACATAAACCAAAAACAAAACAGAAATGTCCTTTGAACTTTACCCTCAATCCTCTATCTCAGGCCTTTTTTCTCCTCTACCTCTCACTTAGGTAACTATGGCAACATTCTAATCTTTTTAAAATGCATATACTTATACTGTATTTATATATCTGCTTAGTACAAAGTATGGATATCTAACACTTGGGATGAGGTTTCTAACTTTTATAAGTGTTTACTGTTCTATATGTGTTTGGGGAACTTGCAGTAATTTAGACTTCATTCAGTATCTTTTTTAATTGATCTCTATTTTAAAAGTGCACATCTTAAGTCTGAAGAAGAACCACATCAGCCAGGTAAGTGAAGCTTGCTTCTAGTCCCAGCTGCTCTGGAGATGAGGCAGGAGGGAGGCAAGTAGCAGCCCACCTGGGCAACTGTGTGACTTAGGCCAGGGCCTATGTCGTCACAACATAGAGCATCAGAACGGCTGGGGCTGTACTTCCGAGGGAGACCCTGGGTTCAACCCCAAGTAGGGAAACAGAAAGAAAAAGTGGAAGGGCAGGAGGAAAACAGAAAGAGAAAGAAAGAGAAAAAGAA